AAAAAAAAAAAAAAAAATTATAGGAACTAAAAAGTTCACGTGTTTAATATATTTTTAATAGAAAAATTGTAAACACAATTACTCAATAAATACTACAAATAAATAATGTTTGAGAGGACTACAAAAAAAATTGCTATACTGCAATGAAAAACTCAACGGTAAAGTATTCTACTGAAAATTCCAACAAATATATTGCTTTCATAGGAAAATTTCATTGGCTATTCCAATAGAATTCAAATTAAATTGCATGAACTTTAGTGCATTTAAAGATTTCAATTACCTGAATTTCTATTGGAATTTTTTTTTTGGATCATATTTCAATCGTTGAAAAAATACTACATAAAATATAATGTTTGAGAGGACTACAAAAAATTACTATACTGCAATGAAAAACTCAACGGTATGGTATTCTACTGAAATACCAACGAATATATTGCTTTCATTGGAAAATTTCATTGGCTATTCCAATAGAGTTCAAATTAAATTACATGAACTTTAGTGGATTTAAAGATTTCAATTACATCAATCTCTATTGGAATTTTTTTTGGACCATATTTCAATCGTTGAAAAAATTGTTATTGGTATTATGCAAAATAACAATAGAAGTTCCATTGGAAAGATAATTGCAGTGATATATCCAAAATAATTTCATATTGGTTTAGTTAATAGAAAAAAAGATACCATCAAAATAACATGTCATTGCAATTTATAAATTATACTTTACATAATCTATCACCTTTCTCATTTGTAAACATTTAATAAATCTATGCAATCACAATTAGGTAAAATATATTTAAGAAACCAAAAGTAAAGATTTTTCGTAAATCAACATAAGAAAATCGTTATATTTGTTGCAATTTTTGTTGGAATTTTCTTATTTTCTTATAGTAAAACTAGGACTCCAAATCTATATAAAAAAATGCATTATATATAATATTGTGTGCAACTATTATTATGAAAATTTTTGATACGACAGAAAATAAAACACATTCAATGTAATTGGCGTTTAATTTATGATAAGAATTATTTCTTTTCAAAACAAACAAGATACTTTGAAAGGTCCTTAATTATTTTATTAGTATTATAAGAACTAAATAAGGGGTAAGAATGATGACAAAACTTATAGCTCTCATTGAATCCAAAAGTAAAAATGCTGATAAAATTACTTAATGTACAGTATCAATTGGAGCTGGCTAATGAAAAATATAAAACATACTTAAGATACACATATATTTTAACTAGAACTTTTTAGTGACGATAATTTTTGTCGTTATGTCGTTAGAAAAAATACCGTCGCTAATAATGTCCTAATATTTACGCTATATGTTCGAATGTCATCACAATAATACCTCTTATTGTGACAGTATTTTATTGTGACGACATAGCGACAAAAATTATCGTCACTAAAAATGATTATTCTTGTAGTGAGTGGGTATGTTAATCTTAAATTTTTATAGTTAAGATTTTTATTACTTTCTATCATTAAATTTTTTAATTTTGAAATACTTCATATTTTATATTTGTTACCTTTTTATATGTATGTAAACTTCTAATTGTTCCCACGTTATGGCTAGAGCGCCCAAATCCGATATATGTTTGACACGAGTTTGTTGTAATGCTGAAACTATGACAAATGCACCTTAGGGTACAAATGAAGCGAAGCAAAGTGAAGTCATAGATAAAAGGAAAGACTAGGTCAGAGAAAGGAAATGGAATAACATTAGCTATGTTCAATTACTGCTGAAAAAGGAACCCTATAATGGTGGTACCACATATATATTCAGTAATTTTGAAAATGACTTAGTTAATTCATATTTTATCAAACATTGAAAAAATTTTAAACTTTTTAATCTAATAATTGGTATAAAAAGTACCGTTTTATCAAATATATTAAATTACATTTAATCTTATGTGATTATATTAATTGTAGCCTAATAAATAAGATAATTTGATAACATCATTATATAAAACACATACAAAAAATAACGTAATACGTATAAATGTGCTTTAATTACTTAGCAAATAAAATATTATTTGTCAATAGAATAAGAAACAAATAATATAATAGTAATGCAATGAGAAAAAAGAAAACATGCTGATTTTCTTAGAAAAGTATGAATACCAATATTTACAAACAAAAAGTCTTTTAAAATTACTACTTTGTTGTTGCTAGCGTTTAAATATATGGACTCTGTAAGAAAATTAGTTCTCATAAATAATGATCATATATTATTTATTTCAATTCTAAATAATTAAAAACTCCAAAAATTTGTATACATGATGTATATTTTAATCATGACTCAATAATAAACTTTACAGATGGCTAAAAGTATCGTCCTATAATGGAGTTCTAATTCTTCTGCTGTCAAATATTTTAACAAATGATATGCTTCTCAATATTTTCTCATTGTTTTGTTTGTTTTGTTTTATCGTTGCAAAAAATAGATTATATTGTTCGTCTATATTCTAAATAAATAACACTGAAAATGAAATGTAGGAGTACCAAAACAGTTTTGAATGTTAGAATAAAATTGTCACTTTTTATAGAAATATTTATAATCTCATAAGTGTATGTGCTTGAACATATGTGCAATACTTTAGTTGTACTTTCAGGTAATGTATGATGATTTCAAAAAAATAATTTAGCACCTCGGAGAAGTACATGTAACCAAGATTTTGGAAAGTCAACTTTTATTTGGAGATAAAATTCATTCCCACCTCGTGGTGGGATGCATCAATGGGGTAACCACCAATATATCTAGAGACAGAGAAATGTAGTAGCTTATACAGTGATAAAAAATATCAACAATTTTAGTGACACCGTTAGTTATTTTATAGAGATATTTATCCTTTGTTAGTAGAAGTACCTTGTTATAAAGATCATACGATAGTGAAGTTTGACTATATGTTGGGTCAGAATGTTTCTTAAGTGTTTCAATAAAATTGGCATTTCGCCAAATTAATTATGAGGAATTTTGCAATAGTATTGATGTATTGGACTCCAACGACTATGAATGTTCTTATGAGAACGTCAAAACCAAAATGAAAGAAAATCTTTGTGTTTTTTTATTAGGGATTTATTTTTTTTATATATATTTTTGTTGGGGGTTGTAATACGTTATTTTACTCTTTTTATATGAGGACATTATTACGTTAATTTTAAATAAAAAAAATTACATATGAGTTCTTTTCTTCTACATTTTACTTCATTTCTAAAATGATATGTTTAATAAATAAATTAATTTATTTTGCAAATTTACTCCGCAAAAATTATGCGTGGCACGTACACTTTACAAGTATACTTTCAATGCAGCCGGCATTCAAATAACAAACCTCATTGGGAGTTGTAAAGTTTTAACACATTGAGCCCGTGAATTTTAACAAACTTGCAAAAATTTTTGAAAGGGGTATACTTACAGAATATTAAACACTTTAAAAATTGTTTTGAAAACAAATTTGAATTAGGAAACAACATGTGGCTGCAAAATCACATAACTTAAATTCAATAGTCCAAATTTTAGTTTTTTATTAATTAATAATATTAAATGAAGATCATCATCTAAAGGGAGTTAATTTGTACAAATAGTTTTTTTTTTTTTAAAAAAAAAATAAAAACATACTTCTATTTGTTATTAAATTAAAAT